GCATTTTTGTTCGCAACGACGGCTCTCAGGATTCGAGGTATTCTGGACGGTTATGTCGGATAACAGCCTCGGGTTTTGATGTTCCAACCTGCTTCAGCCCTGATCACCTGAAATAATTTCGAGCACCAAACAAGTACCGAAATTTGAGTGGTTTCACATGTCGGGCCCTGCAAGGCGATGCTCGTTCGACACTGTTTCGATCATTTTCCTGGGTGCTTCTGGGATCTGGTCCTTAAGTACGATGGGAGCAACTCGGGGTGCCCTACAGCAGCCGCGCCTCGCCGACGGCGTTTCAGGCTTGCCCGGATCGTCCCGAGCGTCCGCTGGAGGCCCAAGTTCTTTAGCCCGACAGCCACCAGAGGGGCAGGCGGAGAGAAGGAGAAAGAGACTGAAGGGAGGAGGAAAGGGGGGGGCAGCGGGACAAGGACGAAGGGGGGGACGATGACGATGAGGACGAAGGCGAGGGAGGAAGGGGAGGGTTAACCATCTAGTTTTAAGCCGGGCTCGTCCCTTTACAGGAGGAGTAGTCAAAGATAGGAAAATTAACAGTCGGGGGACGAGTGTACTTTGACTATTTTTGACCATGTGGGGATATGTTTCGATTTTTCCTTCCCAAGATCCGCTTGTAGGGGGACATGCCCGACCTAAATCTAGTTACTTGCGCCCCATCCTGCCGCTGTGCCGCTGGGGGTCTCTTGGGATCTCCCGGGCGCGCGGGAAAGGTCCAAGGCATTTGCCCCCAGACCGCCCAAGCCTCATTACCCCCTCCGCTTCCTGGGGTGTAGCGAGGGGGATGGGAGGAGGAGGAGGAGGAGGAGGAGGAGGAGAAGCAGGAGAAGCAGGAAAAGCAGGAGGAGAGGAGGAGGAGGAGGAGGAGGAGGAGAAATACGACTTGCGCTCAGGAATGCTTCTGGAATTTTTGGGACGTCCAGAAAAGGGGAGAGACAGAAGGATGAGGAGGAGTGTATGCAGGATGAGGGGGGACACAAGCTTCTGTTTGAGTCGTGCCTCCACGGGGGCTCTCGTCGGCCGCTGGAATTGTCTTGAAATCTTGGGCACAGTGCTCTGCAGGAGAGATCTGCTGCTGACCCTCCGCATTATCCTCTTACTTGGGGGCCCCAGCCTGGATCTCCTCGGTGGGCTGTCTGAGCGGACCCCCAATCCGTAATGACCAAGCTGAAGAGAGGAAACACCACCCGGACCCGACAATCTACGTTTCGTAAACGTCCCTAGGCGTTTACGAAACAGCCTTGCCTTGTTCGATTCCTTTTTTGGGTGGGTTTACTAAATGGCTTCGCTTGTCGGGGTGATTATTATTTTGGCGATCGCAAGAATGGATCAAGGGGATGTGGACCAGCGACGGGTCCCGTTTGCATGGGAAGCCGCGGATTTCCGCCGCCGAAGGAGGCTGCACCGGCCGCATTTTGGGAAGGGCAACTCCCCGGATCTAGGCGACTTCGCGCCAAATCCATGGATCGCTAATCCATGCTTGCGCGCCCCCGAATTAGGGGGGTGGATTTTCTGCCCTCTGCAAGCCTCCCTCACCCCTCTTCTATTCCTTCCTCCCTCCTTCCACCATCCTGGGCATCCGGCACTCGAGACCCGGGCCTCGGGCCTCGAGCCTCAGGTAAGGTCGGGCGTGCCCCCCTACAGGCGTATTTTGGACGAACAATGAAAAATAGTCAAACATGCCCCTAAGAGAGTCCAAAATAATAGAGAAATCCTCCCCGAACTACTGTTTCACTATTTTTGCACCCCCCCTGTAGAGGGACAGGCCCGACTTGAGCCTCGGGTCTCCACCTCTCGGGCCTCGCCACTCGGGCACTGGGGCCCTCAGGCCTCGGGAAATTCTTTGGGATGCGAGGGCCGCGGCACGGCTCGACCATCTCCGGAGGGCCAGCTTTTCGTTCCGAGCAGGCCTTCTTGACGTCGAAGAGGGAGGTCGGAGGTTGATAGACCTCCTACCTTGACACGTCGCTTAGCGAATTGGCCGTTCTCGATTCGCGAGAGGGCGTCGCGGCCGTCATTTTCGAGGGTCCAGGTCCGTCGGTTTCGGTCCCAGGCCGTTTTCACTACAGGGAGGTTTGCCCACCGCCGAGAAGAAACGGCATAAACATAAATGTTTGGCGTTCCGCGCGGATTTCCTGCATCTGCGCTGGACCCCCCTCCCTGGCGCGCGGAGCGCGCCAGAGGCGGCGCCGGAGGCGCCGCCCAGGGGTGCCCAGCGACGATCCAAGAAGAAATCCGCGCGGAGCGCCAGACAATTTATGTTTATGCCGTTCTTTCTTCTTCGATTATGGTGCCGGGGCCCGCGGGGTTCCTCCTCCTCATCCTGCTTCTGCTCCTGCCGATGGTCCTCCTCCTCCTCCCTCCTCCCTCCTCTTCCTCTCCATCCCCCTCGTCCTCCGCCCTCTCGTCCCCCTCCTCCTCGTCGCCCCCCTCGATCTAATCATCTTCTTCCACCCCCCGAGCGCCCGGGCCCCGCGTCGGAGCGTCGGAG